TCGCTGCCCTACTGCGTGTTGACAAACTCAATTTATTCTTTACCGCCGAGTACTCTATGTGGTAAATCAAATTTTAAAAGAGCTATTAACAATTGCGTTGGTTTTGGCGAGAGTCAAACTTTATTTTTTGCTTACTGTGCAGGCACTGATTTATAAGTTCTCTTGCGTTTTATATAATGTATCAATCGCGTCAATTAATCTCTTTTATTTTTAGAATTGATGTTAGCAGCGCCATCTCTCTTTAAATATATACATATAATAAAAATGATGATAACATGTTGTGTCTCTTTCTGTACATTGTATATATATTTTGGTGGTTAAAATCATTATAGGGAACTGAAAATAATTAAATAAGAACATTTTATAATTTTTAGAATTGTCTGTCTGTCTATTTGTCTGTTATTATATGAACGCGTCACGTCTAAAGTAAACATCTTTTATTTTCAAAGAAATCGTTAAGAAAATCATAAAGCGTATCTTCGAGTTACATTTAATCTTTGTTTTATTAAAATTGGTTAATTCTATCGAAAGTAATGATTATTATTTTGAAATGTAGGTTCGAATCTGTTCAATGGCGCCATAAAATCTCAGAAATAGTAATAAAAAGATTTGTGTGTAAAAATAACGTTCCATAATAATTAATATATTTATACTTAAAACACAAAAAGAGATTTAAAAAGGATGTTTTCTCACACAAAGGACGTAATAGATGCAGTTGTACAAATTACAAACTTTTCTGAATTGCTGTGTTGAGATTTTTCGCCGATGAATCGTAATGAGACTTACTGAAGAAATTTATATCCATCGAAGCTATACAACGGAACCCGACCAAAAATTGAAATTTTGCAACGAAATGTCGTGATATTGTATTTATAATATACGCAAAATCAGTACTGCCATTTTAGCGCTTTGGGAACTAGATTTAGCGCTTTTTTGGAATGTATAGCGCGCATTTCGAAATTTTAGCACCTAGCTTAATCCAGCGCTTTTTGGTGTATTTAGCACACATTTCATTATTTTAGCGACTAGCGGGTTATTAACTCTTTTATAGCAGCACTGTTAGTCCACATTACCGATAATAATAATAATGACCTTTATTATTTTTTCCCACAAATAGTACATTGCAGTTTATCTTTTTCAAACATATTCTTTCCACAAAACAAAGAGCATGGGAGACGAGTCCAAACTAGGATACCCTGTGCTATGGATCTCCTGGCTTCCCCGTTAGGATGATCAACTTGATTTTTTTACCGACGACTATAAGCGGGGAAATCCCCTTTATTAAAGTTTTCGTTCATGGTTTTGGCAACGCATTTATTTTGCTTTATTCAGTTTCAGTCAGTTGCTTAGAGCACAGCTAAGTTAAAAGTTACTTAAAAGTTATAACACAAAGAAACTGTGTAGCAACCGCAATCAGATGCTGACATCTGAAACTAAGTTGCGAAATACATTGCACTTTAAAACAATTAATGACATTTTTATTGTTCGTACAGTACTAACTACTGTTGACAGCAATTGCCATAATTATAAGTCGATGTTCTGCGAAGTATTGATACATCAAAAAAATATTGCCAGAAAAAGTTGTTTTCTTTATTATGATTATATAAAAAAACACAAACTTTGTTTGTAGTTAATTTAGCGCGAAATCTAGGGCTTTTTTAAAGCGCTGTTTTCATGAAATCTAGCGCTTTTTGTGTTGTCCTAGAGCTGAATGAGTTTTTTTTTATCTGGCAGCACTGCCCAAAAACCCTCTATTAAGAAGTAACTTTCCTTTCAGTTTTAAGCGCGTTCAGTTCCCAGTTATAGTGAGCGTGTGTTATGCGATGACCGTAAATAAAGCGCAAGGTCAAACTTTACGCGTTGTAGGAGTGTACCGCAGTACTGACTGTTTTGCACATGGCCAACTCTATGTTGCTTTTTCCCGCGTTAGTAGCCCCCGTAACCTTTTTGTGTACACCTCGGCTAAGTCTACTTCTAACGTCATTTACACAGAAGCTCTATCATAAACGACTTAGAACTTTGATGATAATGATTTATTTAGTTACCACTTATTGATACAGTAATGAAATAAATCGTTTAATATTCTCTTACCTAAACGACAAATTCTTTATGTAAAACCTGTATACGCGAGCTACGCCGCGGGCACAGCTAGTACTTTCATATGCATTTAGTAAAAACTTATTATTTTGACATTACAAACAGATACTTCAATTTTATTTATTTCTATAGATATTCGTGGGCTGGGCAAAAAATTTGTAGATTTACTATTTTTTTTTTTATATTTTACTAGCTCTCCAGCCCACGGTTTCGCCCCCATTAAATCAAATTTTCCTGATAGTGGGTAAGTATCGACCATTACCCATGAACAACTGCAATACCAAGGAAATTGCATGTGCCTTGCCGGCCTTTTTAAAAGGAGTAAGTCGTATTAGTCCGGAAAAATCCCTGCTGGTAGATGATTCCACAAAGAAGTTTTGCGAAGAAGAAAATTCCTAGTAAATCGCACAGTCATGGTGGACCGCCAAGCATCCAGATGGTGTGGATGGTACCGTAAGTATAATCCCGATGTGCGTTGGTTGACGGTGGGAAGTAATCCGAACAAATTGGTGGTTCGTGTAGAAGGAGTTGGCACTGGGTGCCCCGGTTCAGAGATGAGAACAGTAGTCCATGTGAGAGCGAACTTGCGCCTTGTAAACAGTGTGCCGGCGTGAAATACAGTCCCGCTCTGCTGAGCACGCTAAACTTCTTACAGGCCAATTTAGCCTAAGTGACCGCGGAACAGTACGTCATTCAATATGTCGATGCCGAGGATTCTTCTCTGAAATTGTGGAGATACGACAAAAGGGTTCTTTTTAGCGATAAGCGCGCAAACCTTCCGTAGCTTGAACTGGAATAAAGTCGTCCCCAATTCGAGATTTTGTTTATTAAAGGCTCGACTTCAGACACAAGTTTGTTCCGATACTCTTTGATGTATTCCCGCAAAATATTATAACAGCTGGTGTAAAAAGCATCACCAGTATCAAAACCAGTATTAGCAACATATAATTGATATACAGAAGAAACAGCATCGGTGATAGCACGCAACCTTGTGGATCACTTGCATTAATAGGCTTGTAGTCAAAGTATGACGTTTACTACGACCCTGATGCTCCCATTCGCAAGAAAACTGATTATCTAATTGCACCATTTTTTCGGAAAGCCCATAGGAAAGAAGCTTCTAAAGAAGCGCTTTGTGCCAAAGCCCATCGAAGGCCTTCGCTATGTCCAAATTAACGACGAAGGCCTCCCTCATGGAATCTACTGCTTCCGCTGGTCTATGAATCAGGTAAATTAGCAGATCAGACCTAGAACCAGCCGATTAGTGTCTTCATTGGCTAATCAGCTGGTGGTCCTCAAGGTAACTCATGAGCTGGCAGTTCATAATAGATTCCATTCTTTTAGAGGACAAGAAGACGACTGTATGTAATTGGACGAGTCTGAGCGATCGCTCTTTTAGGGTTTGGGTGCATTAAAACTGTCTTTCATAAGTTCAGGATTACGCCCAGGGAGTAGGAGTACCAGAAAAGACGAGTTAGAACCGGTGCTAATTCCGGAGTACCAGTCTTCAGCACAATAGGAGGGACTACATCAGGCTAACTCGATTTGTTGACGTCAAGGGAGAGGATTGCTTTGCAGCTGTGTAAAGCAATTACCCGTTGGCGGTGTGTACCCTCCGTCGAGTTGGACTCAAAAATTGAACCTAAAAATCAAATTTCTCCTTTTGCGGCATGGGCCGGTGAGTCTTTCTCCCTGTGCAGTGATGGAACAGATGGCTTACAGAAGTTTCCTTAGACAGGCTTAGGCTTAAACACCTTAATAAAATTAGAGGTGGAGAAGTAAGCGTAAGCAGTTTAAAATCTTTAAGTCACGTCCAGTCAACGAAAGACTAAAGGTACCAAAAATTCAGTCTTATTTTCTATTTGTTTTGTTCATAAATAAAGAAGGAACAACAAGTAAAATACTTGCGGCACTTAATTATTTATTGAGAATATTATACCAAATTTTATTCTGTACATAAGTGGTGCGCCCTAGGGTGCAGCCTAGTTAGCTTGTGGGTAAATTAGGTCCTGCATCTTACGGTGCGTACACATTATATAACATAACATGTTATAAAACGAGTTGTATAACACTAAAGTTATATAACGTATTAGTAATGTGGAGGCTGAATGTTATAAAACGTGTTATATAATGTGTAAATATATAACTCGAACGACAAACGACAATGTCATATAACATTGTTATATTGCATTGTTATTCTAATGTGTACAGTATTGTTATATGTTGCAATGTAGAAAAACAATGTTACATAATGTGGACGTGTTATAAAACAAAAGTTACACAACATATTACTTAATCTGTACGCACCCTTAGTCATCTACTACTGATTGTAGTATATTATGTCTAACAGCATCCATTTACCATATGACGGCCTGACATTCCTAGACTTCACACTTACTTGAATAAAACAATAAATTTAAAACGGTGTTGGATAAATCTCATTAGGATAACAATTAATAAATTTCATAAGCGTTAGGCGGTAGTTGCAAGTGGTGCGAACAAACGGTCACCACTTTGTGTGCTTTTAGGTGAAAGAAAACGTGAGAAATCTTGTGGAAAAAATGTATCCACGACATTAAAAATAAGCTTTCTTTGTATACTGATAAAATTAGATTGGAAATAAAAATATCTCGTTTCTGTTAAATGTTAATATTACAATTCTAATTTTATTTGAAACAACTGTAATAGTTAGGTTAGGTCACGGGTTTGAATCCGCCATTTGAGTACTGTCGTGAACCACTTCTAACACAAGTATTTTAAGCCTTCTTACGGTGGCTAACGGTAGTATTAGTGATTTTAATAAACTTAAAAAAAGTATCAGGTTATATATAATCATGTTATATTTTTTGTCTTACAAATAAAGTCCTAAGATCTACAGTAAATAACATGTTATAAGCAACAATTTATAAAAATATCTGATCTTCATCTGAATCACCAGCACCATAAACGAAATGTCTCCTTACAACATTATTATCAGTAATTGCACTATCAGTATTGCTATTCTTACAAGGCGTCACTGGATATCTTACTGGTCCTAACCATCTCCGACTTAACCCATAATTTCTTGGCAAAGCCACATTTTTGGCCGATGCACTTTTCTCAGATTTCTCTAAACTGTTCAATGACGACTGAATGGATTTTAACGAAGATTTCTTCAATAGTATTTCACTTGTATCATCTAAATAATCATCCGGCAGATCCATGTTGTTTGGTATACTTAAGCTTAAGGGTCTGCGTTTTATTCGACTATTAGGTAACTGGCCACGCCACGTATTAAATTTCTGTTTGTCCTTTCTCTCTGGAGTGTTTTCTTGAGAAGAACAGTCACCTGTATTAAATTCTTCATAAACTTTATTTTCAGAGTAACATTTCTGTAAGTTACTTTTATTGGGAGTACTCTGTACACTGGTTTTATTTTTCATTCTGTCCATCACTTTCTCTTTTGTTAATTTGATTAATGCATAAATTGTTTTTAAAGCTTCTTCATTTAATAATTCATCATCGGTAATGTCTACATCTAGTGCGCTAGACATACTTTTGGAACGAGTTTCATTACAGTTATATTCTTTATTTGATTCTGTACACGGTTGATAATCTGCATGGGAATGTTTATTTACATTTTGCAAAACAATCAACTCAACCGTTTTAGAAGCAGATTGCAACATGGCTAGTGCCTTGTCATATTTTAAGTTCAATAATGTCTGGCCATTTACTGATATTATCTGATCACCAGGTAAGAGTTTTCTACACAATTCGGCTGGACTACCTGTTGTGATTGATTTTATATAAACATTTCCATCAGAGCCTTCTGCAACTTGTAGCCCCAATGCATTTGTTTCATCTCTCTCTAAAACTGCAGTCACAAATACTCTTTCTCCTTGAACATATTCCATATTATCTAATTTCTCAAATAATGATGTATTAAGACAGGACTCATTTCCCTCTTTAAAATTAAATACATCAGAGTAAGCTTTTGGAGATTCTAATACATAAGCTGTTGGGCCAGTAGAAAGATTTTGACAGTACTGTCTTTCTGGTAATAATTTCATACTATTAACATGGCAGTGTTGCTTTTGTTCTAAACTAAGGTCATCTGAATCGCTATGGGTGGTTGTATCTGGTCTCAGACACTCATTGGAACTTCTATGGCCAGGTGATCTAAGATTATTACAATCTCTTGTAGCTTTTATTCCAGCGAATACTCGGGTACCCATTTTTACACCATGTCTCCTAGGTAAACTGCAACTTTCTGAAGAAGACAAACCCTCATTAGAAGAACTACCATGGCCAATACTTGAAGAGTTTAACAAACTTTCATCTTGTGGAGACAATATCCTCCTTAGCAGTTCCTCTGTATCGGGCTTTTCATTCTCCTTGTTTTGATTTTTTTTGTCACTAAAAAGATCTACTCTAAATCTTCTTCTAACAGGTTTCCTCATCCTTACTGGATTCCTTACTGCTAAATTGTAGCTATCTTGGTAATTACTGCAGTCTGCATTTTTGAGACTGTTACCTATAGGTGACCCAATTTCAGTGGATAAGTAAGTTATAAAATCTTCCTTGGCATATAATTTAAGATATAATCTGTGGTGCAGAGAGGCCAACCAAAATGTGAAGTAACTTTTATGGTCAGTCATTTTTAATTTATATTTTATACCAATTTTTGATAGACCAGAATACGAATTGGGCATAATGTACAAACTTTTTTTATTATAGTAGAAGGTGTGGATATGATGCCAAGGTAAGCTTTGTAATACTATTCTGTTAGTAAAAATACCAGATTCATCTGCAATTTGATTATTTCTAGAATAAAGTGTAATGCCCCTTGGGCCTATTGAGAGCCAAATATCCCTACAGAATCCATCTCTGGTAGCCCAAACTGCAGAATAAAAATGGGCCCCATAGTCTCGAAATGTTTGTGCTAGTGTTATATAGTTAATAATGGCTTTGTCCCTGTCTAGACCTCTCCTAGATTCATGAGCCCTCTTCATTCTTAATTTAACATCTGCCATATCATCAGTTATTACAGTCTCTGGTAAATAATGTTCCAGTAGAAAATAGTCACCAGAACCATGTTCTCTATAAGAGAATTCTCCAAATTCAATATGCAAAGCATACCCAGCTAACAAAACAAGGTTTTGGATTGTTGAGGTCATTTGGCCTTCAACAGTTGCTCTTCTCAATTGTAGATAGACCCTGTACCTCCATTCACCACCTTGTATGTTACTTGCGATATTTTTGGGTAGAAAAAACTTAATCCTTAAAAATACTGTCAAAGAGGCTTCATTACTTGCATCTGTGCCTTTACCTTTCTTATTTGATTTATGCCAATTCTCTGAAGCAATCTTTTTAATTTTATAATCATCAGGTAAAAAAACAAAATCCCCCCCGACTAGTGCAGCTATACCAAGCATAAAGCTGTGTTCATATTTCTCATTGTGTACAACAGCCTCAAACAACTGTCCAGCTGTTACTGTGTTAGGATCACATATAACTTCAACTCTTTGACCATTCAACAATACTATAGTGATAATCTTTTTATCACAAACTGTGCTTAATGTCAAATCAATTTTTTTAATAGATTGGGAGGCTCTCACAATAAATTCTGGACCTATACAACCTTCTTTTCCTTTGAAACAAGCATCCGCTTTATATAATCTTGATGCAGTCCGTTGCACAGGTTTTCCTCTCTTAAAATTTGTCTTTATGGCTAATTGTTCAGCTCTATTTAATTTATTATCATTAGCATTCACATTAGACAATGATAAAGCATTATTTTGTATGTTACATTGTTCTATTTGAGTGCTAGTAGCAATATCATAACTAGAGTGGGCATTACTTAAACCGCCCTGTCTAGGTGTATCAAACAAATGTAACACAGCATTCCTATGACCTTTTGACATCTTGTAGCTAGGAAACGGATCTGTTTCATCAGGCGAACTCAAAAGTGCAACATAGCTTCGAGGACGAGTGCTAACTTTTAAAGTGGCCCCTGTATCTTGATTTTTTAACTGAACCGACTCTTTAGGCTCCAGTCTCTCTTCAGATTTAAAGTGATGGTAGTCCATAATGGGGCTGAAAGTGATTGAAGCAGCTGAACAAGAACTGCGTCCAGAATCTTCATCACAATTACGGGACATTGTGCTGGAAAGAAATAATTGGCATATAAGTTATTATAAAACCTTCCCTTTCTCTATTTTTAATTATTAATTAATATAAGTTACAAATTATTATTTAAAAAGAAATCTTTTAGGAATATAGATTTAAAAAATCAAGAATGCTTTTCATATATGTACATGCTATAAAATATCTACTTTAAATACTTGGGTATGTAGTCATGCTCATGCATTCACTAATCACTTATGCGTGACCTTGTCCATAGCAATCTGGGCACAAAACAAAGCATAGCACGACGTTCAACGCAAACTGGTATTTCTGTGGATACATCTAAATCAAAATTAAAGTGTAATATTCTTTTCTTTGAAGATTTAGAAGTTTATGAAAACTTACCCTTTATAGCAACTCCATCATATTGTACACAGCAGCATATTTTTTTTGTATACTTTTCTTTTATATTATATATAATGTAATGGAGCATGTCGATTTGTAAAATTTATGGAACATTTTTAAAATAATTGCGATATTATTCAAAATTTAACATCTCGAACTGGAAATAAAATAGACAATAAACATTAAACATAGATATCATGTTTGCTGATTGTTGTTACGATTTGACAATTAAAGCAGACAAAGATTTTAGACTATACAATCTAGTCTGAAATTGTGTTTGTAATTGTACTAGTTCTCTATACCCTTTAGACCAGAAGTGCTGGCCATATGAGGAAGCTCCAGGTCGTTCAGTGAGCTATGGAAAGGGCTATGCTCGGGTTATCTCTGCGTGATAAACTTAGAAATGAGGTTATCCGCAGTAGAACCAGAGTAACCGACGTGGCCCAACGGATTAGTAAGCTGAAGTAGCAATGGGCCGACCACCGGCTCCCCACTAGATGGAGTGACGACCTGATAAAGCATGTAGAAAGTCGATGGATGCAGGGGGATCAGGAGAGTGCTTTGTTGCATTCTTTGGGGGAGGCTTAAGTTCAGATGTGGACATGTTTTTTCATCATTACAGCCCTTCACAAGCACTTCGTCCGCCGGTACGAGGCTGCTACTCCAGAACCTTTTTTCCCCACATTCATATCGTCCACTGCATTGCAATCTTCTAGGCACTTAAAACGATTTTGTAGCTCGTGCTGAAATGTTTCAGGAATCTGGATTAGAGCACGAGAGGGACGGAGCGTTGACTTCATTAGATGAGACCTCTCCAACTTAACGTTTAGGTTCAGTGTGCTTCTAACCGGTCGGTGATCGCAACAGTTGTCTAGTCGTCATAATGAAGTCAATCTCATTTTTGTCAAACCGTCGGGGCTTGACTAGGTTCACTTCCGGTGGGGCTGCTTCTGGAAGAAAGAGTTCATCATAAAGAGTTCCTCTTTCTCCATGAAGTTGGCCAGCTGCTAGCCCTTTGGTTTCTGTTGCCTTATTCCAAATTTCCCTAACTTTAGCTCACCATTCTCTTTTGTGCCTAGTTTTGCATTGAAGTTTGCCATTAACACCGTATAGTGGGTTTTGGAGGAATGCATGGCTTTAGAGATATCCTCATACATTTCTCCCACCTCCTCATCGGGATATGCCAAGGTTGGTGCGTAAACCTGTATGACCATTAGCGAATACCGTTTGGTGATTCTGAGCATAAGGTACACAACCCTCGTCGACACACCCCCAATCTTTGCAACGTTTTTAACGAGAGACTTATGGACGATAAATCCGAAACCTCCTTGGGATAGATGGTAGCCCTCCCGTTGATAGAAGAAGTTGCCGGATTACCGTGTCCTCCCCCTCTCTTCAGACCTCGGATATAGTATGCCTGCTCCAGGATCTTCTCCTCAGTCCTCAGGGCGCGTGCGTTATATGTTGCCAGGTCAAGACATCTTAGGTGGCAACCGAACATCCACCGGAGATTCTTATCACCCCCTACCCCACTGTTACTATGGTCGCCACCGTAGGCAGGAATAGCAGGGCCGCCGGGGACTGAGGGCCGTCTCATAGTTGCCACGCTTGGCGAGCGGATTGGCAACCGCAGTTTTTATTGTTGTTTTACTGTTATCAGAAAGATGCTACTGCCCATCTTCTGCCTCAGTTTACCTCTGTCGCCTCTTACGACATCCACGAGAAGATATTGGGTATTGGGTATTCTTAACTGCCACTACACTGGGTGTAGTGGACATTTGAAGGTCTGTAATGATGATGATGATTTATACCAGAACGCAGCAGTGCAAGTATCTTACAATCTTATCCTATTCTATCTTACAGCTATAAAGGCGAGAAAGAGTCCTACCACGCAGTAAGAAGTAAGAAATAAGCTATGTTCAAATTCTTAATATTTCGCAATGGGACGCATCAGCATAATATTGTGAAGTTTTGTGAGTAAAATACATATGTCAGACAAGGCGGAATGGGCATAGATCCCTTTGGCCCTGAAATAAATAAAAAATCAATTCAATGACAAACAATGATTTCAATGTATTATCTATGATTTCAATTTCAATTAAAATAGTAAATTAATATTATTACAATATAATCATAAATTCTTGATATTACAGCAATGTTTTATTAAGACTACACAATATAAACGATATGGCCACCTTAATACAGTCGTATGAGCAACAGTATTCCGTTCTAACTGCCGAAGTTACAGCAAAAATAGGTCGACTAAAAGTTGGAAATGAAGGTAATTTTTCCAGTGTCCTAAAATAACTTTAGTACTTCTAATTAATTTATGAACATTTGCTTTAATAAAAAAGAAATGTATGAATTAAATATTCGTAAACTGGAATTGTTTCGTGAGCATCTACTGTAACATATTTTTCCCATGTTCATAGCTTAATAGTCATCAATGTGTTTAGCTACCTAAATCTGAAAAAGTCCCTAGGATGATTTGAAGTAGTCATATAAACAATTACAATGGGTACGACCTGGGTAGTTTATGTTATTAAGTACAGACCCTGCACTATGCTTTTCTTTTGTATTAGTTTTAATATTGTTACAAGTGAATGTTATGTCATGTTTTGGATATTATTAGTATAAAAAAAACCATACACAAGTGATAAAATAAAATTTTGTACAACCAACTTCAATATAAATAAAATGTAGTCAAAGTCAATTAAATATGAATTTTTAAGGGTAACTCAAAAACTACTCCTTAGATCTTGATCAAATTTATATAGAAGCACATGAGAAGCACCAGCTTTCAAATAAAAAAAAAAGGAATCGGCTTAGCTTTCCATTGACGTCCGTCGAGTTGGATGTTGATACGCATTTTTACAGAAAAGTTACACTATTAAGCACACACACAAAGTTTCAACACGTGGAAACGCGTAATTTTTGAGAAAAGATTTTTTTTTAATAAGATAAGGGTGACAAACGAGCACACAGTCCACTTGATGGTAAGTGGTTGCTGCGACCCATAGACATCTACATCTATCCTCGTTTGCGAATCAAAATGTAGATGCGTTGCCACCCATGAGGACTAAGATGGAATGCTTCATTTCTAGTAAAAGGGGCCTCCGGCCACCTGCACTCAACAAGCGAAACGCAGAGGTAAACCTCTATTTCACGCTGGTATTCTGTGAGGTCGTGGTACCACCCCGGTTCGAGCCGGCCCATCCGTGCGACAGCAAAAGCTGCCACGTGGCTCTACCATTGTTAAAATTAAATTAAAAATAGCGTAACAAATCACAGGCATCCCTACGGCGTAGAGGCTGCTCTTCCCGCAGCGCCGGAGACTTAGCAGTCTCAAAATAGATACAGAAATCCTTCTGAATCATTAGCCTTATTTTTTACGACGAAGGGAATTTATTTCTCATAAAATGGATTTATATTTACATTATAAATGCAAACATGAAAAAAATATAGATATTTTAGAAATCAATATTTTGGGAATCGATACATCAGCTTACAATTCGAATCTATTTAAAAACTCGATCTTTTTCGGAAAGAATCGACATCCCTACTGACAATAATAATAAATGGCGTCAGTTTCATAGTAGGTAGGAATTGACATAAATATTGCAAAAATATTTGATTTTCAATGCTTTTCTCTCAAAAAGTACATGTTTCCGCATATTGAAACTTTGTGTGTGTGCTTATAAAAATGTAATCTTTCTGTAAAAATACGTATCAACACCAAACTCGACGGACATCAATGGAAAGTCGTTCCAAAGAATCATCAAAATCGATTCACCTAGAAAATAGTTCTGAGGTAACACACCTTAAAAAAAATACATTTGAATTGAGTACTTCATTTTTTTGAAATCGGTTTATAATATTAACTAAAAGAGTATGTATCAGGGATAATAATTATGAGAAATTAACAGGATGTGGGATGTAGTTGGATAGGATATCATAGAGAAAATATGAATGTTAAGGGTGTTCTGATAACAGATGCTTGAAGGATCCTTTGTCTAATCAAACTTTAGAGATTGTGTGGGTTTTGAGGTTAATTAGGAAATCTGATTAGTCTTTTTTCATAAACACACTAGTTATACTCTATAACTTATAAATAAGTTTTGAAGTCTAGGTGATAAAATGTGTTGAAGGGAATGTAGATATAAGTGCTCTAGGAGTATGTACCCATTTTCCATCAATTATATTTTATTAATTATTAGCTGACACCCAGTGTGTTACTGCTGCTAAAGAAATAATTGTGAAAATGTGCTTTTAAATTTGTTAATACATTCATTGAATATATAATATACAGCATGGCTCTACCACGTATACGTTTTATACGTGGTAGAGCCATGATGCAACTATATTAGAAGTATAGTTGTAGCACTAATGGGTTGGCTCAAGCGGGGAAGGACGACGCTTTCACAGAATACCAGCTTAATGCTGCTGTGTTTCGTATGGTGAGTGTAGAGAACCGGAGACCCTTTTTACTGGAAACGAGGCATTCCATCTTAGTCCTCACTGGTGACAACTCATCTGCATTTAGAATTTTTATTGAGGATAGATGTAGATGTCTATGGGTCACAGCAACCACTTACCATCAGGTGGACTGTGCGCTTGTTTGTCACCTTTA